TCTCTCACAAGATTACAGTCCAGATATCAAATGGGGCAGCAGTCCACTGAAGGCTTGCCTGGGGCTGGAGGATCCACTTCCAAGATGGCTGACTTCCATGCCTGCCAAATTGGTAGTGGCTGTTGGCAGTAAGTGAAGGTTGTTCTCCACATGCATTTCTCCATGGGGGTGATTTAATGTCTTCACAAAATGTGCTGACTTCCTCAGAGCAAGTGATCAAAAAGAACAAGGCAAAAGAGCAAATGATATATTTGTGACCTAGCCTCAGAAGTAACACACAATCACTCTGCCATATTTTACTTGTCACACAGGCCAGCCCTGATGCACTGTGGAAGGGGACTTCATCAGGTAGTATACAGGGATTTCAGTGGGAACAAGGATTTCAGCCTTCTTTCCTGGAGACTAGCTACCATGCCCATATGTAAGAAGTCACTATGTCCTTATAAATCCGACTAAAAAATAACTTAAATCCATCCTTTTCTTTCCATTATCATCATAGTTCAGTACATCATCATCATTCACCTGGACTGTGTGATAGTTCATTTAAAAAACAAAAACCTTACCTCCAATCCCTCCCCTTCCAGACTGCCATCAGGATAATCTTTCTAAAGTGCAAGTACTAGTTCTAGTTTATTCTTTCAACAGTTATTAAGGGCCTACTATATGCCTGGCATTTTACTAAGTACTAGAGATAAGAAGATTAAGACATGGTCCCTTGGCTGGGCATGGCGGTTCAGACCTGTAATCCTAGCACTTTGGGAGGCTGAGGCAGGAGGATCACTTGAAGACGAGTTCGAGACCAGCCAGGTCAACATAGTGAGACCCTGTCTCTGCAAAATAATAATAATAGCAAGTGGCACACACCTGTAGTCCCAGCTACTCAGGAGACTGAGGCAGGAAGATCACTTGAATCCAGGAGTTCAAGGCTGCAGGGAGGTACGATCACACCATTGCACTCCAGCCTGCCTAAAAAAAAAAAAAAAGACCTGGTCCCTGATTTCAAATTGCTTAGCCTAGAGGGAAAATCAGGCATTTGGGATCAGCACTTCAAATCGTCTCTCTGAAATCTTCTTTCTAAAACCAACCTCAACACAATGGAAGCCCCTGTCCACCCCCCTGCACCCCCATCTGAGTTTCTTCCTCTAGCACCACTATATGCCTTTCCTAAGCTGCTTCTCATCAGTCTAGCCTAGGCCTTAGTCCCTTCTCTGAACATCATTTATTGGTTATTTTGTCTTTTGATTTTTTTCAAAAATCTTTTTCCAATTTTTTTGCATATGAAAAAACATACAACAAGAGCTTCATTTTACATTGCAACCTAATCACACTTAAGTACATGCATTCACGTACTTAATGTACATATTAGTGAGTTAAATTTTTAGCAAAGTCATACTTACCTCATATTTACCTTTACTTCAGGAGCTAAATTCTCATTTTTTTTCCCTATCATGTTGCATTTTATTCTACTCCATTTTTTTAAATGCTGGTTGGAGCCCACTAAATTGATTTTACTACTCATTAATGAGTTGAGATCCCCACTTTGAAAAAAAAAAAACTCACTGTTCTATGTAGTCTCATTCATACTAATTTAGTTAACAATGATTTTATGAATCTACATTTCCAGGCAATATCTTTCTCTTCAGCTTCTGACACACACATCCAAGAGCCTAGTGGACATTTCCACATAATGTAACCACAGGCACCTTGATTTCAACATGCCCAAAACTGAAGTGTCATCCCCACCCTCATAGCATCCTGGTAATTGTGTAGATGCTAAAACCAACGTTCCCCATCTCTATACATAGTACTACTGTCTTTCCAGCTGTCTAAGCCAGAGACTTTGCATTCGTTTATTCAACAAGTATTCATTGAATGCCTACTGTGTTCTAGGCCCTGTCATTTTGGATTCCTCCTAATCAATCGAATCAATCACAAAGGCCTGTTAATTTTAACTCCTAAATATTTCCTCCCACATCTCTGCGTCCCCTCTACCAACACCCTAATTCAAGCAACTATCTTCTCTTGCCTGGGCTACTTCCTACTCTAGTCTTATCCCTGTGCCCCGCTGCCACCACCCCAATTTTAGCCCCCAATCCATTCCTTTTAAGTCAGGAAAGGCAGGGAGAATGTTCTCTCCAGTACACAAATCAGATCATGTCACTCTTCTGCTTAAACACTTCAGTTTATCTCCCCATTCTAGCCCACTCCATTTTTGCTATGAGATAAGATCCAAAGTCTTTAATATAGTCCACAGATCGTATATGTTCTGGCCCTTTGCCTAACTCTACTGCTTCATCTTTGCCACTCCTCTTCCACATACTATACTCCAGACTGGAGTATAGTTCAGCAAGACTGTTGGGAGATCATCAAGCCAATGTTGGCCATTAGAGGAGTGCTGTGTGAGGACTGCATTGTTTCCCAGGAATGGGTCTGCCTCAGTATCTCGACCACATTCAGTCAGTGGCTGGGAAGAGGGCCTCCATGGAAATGTGGCAGTAGATTTCTAAGGCAGCAGCTGATGCCCTTGGTCAGTTACACTCCTTGTAGTTTAAAGTCTGCAAGGTGCTTTCTCATGACCATTATAGTTTGTCACCCTCAGAAAACAATTCTTATGTCATAGTCTCCATTTCTGGTACAGTTCTTTGCATATTTTTAATAAATGCTATAGAGGGTACAGAAAGAAATTAATAGTAGGTAAGAGCAATAGGTGGTATGGTTTGGAGTGAGGCTAGTGCTCAAGTTTGAATGTGTCCTCCAAAGTTCATTTGCTGGAAACTTAATACCCAATGGAACAGTGTTCAGAGGTAGGGCCTAATAAGAGGTGATTAGGTCATAAGGGCTCTACCCCCATAAATGGATTAATGTCATTATCTTGGAAGTAAGTTAGTTGCTGAAAGGGTGGGTTTGTTGTAAAAGTGAGTTCAGCTCCCTGTTGCTGTCTTGCTCTTTTGTACTCCCTTACCCTTCTGCTTTCTGCCATGGGATGACACAGAAAGAATGCCCTCACTAGATGTGGGATTCTCAACCTTGGATTCCTACCCTCCAGAATTTAAGAATACATTTCCTTTATTTATAAATTACTTGTTCTGTGGTATTCTGGCATAGCAACACAAAGGGGAGTAAGACAGTTAATGTTGGGGTTGAGCCTAGTAAGGTAGGTGGGGTCAGTTATAATGGACCCTTTAACCGAAAAGGAAACATAAGCCGTTTTTAAGACAAAGAATATGATCAAAATATTTTTACAAGGACAATTCTAACATCAGTGGAAAGGATAATCTGGAGATTAGAGACAGGAAGGCTAATTTGGACTATATGGGGGGAAAGAGCGATTGAGAAGCTACCCTTTCAACAGAAACACAGGAACTCTCTTGTATATCAGATTATAGTGTTTAAAAAAGGACACAAGTTAAATAGTTCTGTTCTTACCCTGAGGAACAGTTGATAGGAGCAAAATTGTTTAGTGGGGCTAGAATACAAGCAGGTGACTCTTTTCCTGTTGAAACATGTAACCTATCCTGTGCCATTCATTGAAATACTGTCCCACCCCACCTCCAACCTGCATCTAGGCAATGAACTGAGAAAATAAAAATAATAAAGAAAACAAGGAAAACTGCTTGTACATTTCTAGCTTGGAAGTAGCATTCTCTTTCCCTCTCCTGTGGACTAATTCAGAGAATTCCTTTTTAACCAGACAGAGTTGAAGACCCAGACCAACCAACTGTTAAGGACCAGGACGCTCCTACCCCATCTGGAGTTCGTCAAAGGGACTATGGGAATCAACCTCAAATAAGCGAGAATGAATATGAAGACAGGGACAGACCCTCTTGGAATACAGGAGTTTGAAAAGACTTTAAAAAACTTTCTGAAGGTAGCCTATAACTTCCATGAGGGCAGGGACCATCGTCTGTACATCCACTGTACTCCAGTCCTAGCACAGTGCACGGCACGTAATGTGCCCACCACAGATGTTTAGTGAACAAAATAGCGACTAGCTGAAGGAAATGATGTGGAAGGGAAAAGTTAAAACAAATAACACGGTCGGTGGGGGCGCTACTGGGATGTTTCAGGGAGGGAAGTGGTAGAAAAAGAAAAAATGTCAGGTTTAGCACAGTATTTCCAACAAATAGACAAAATTCTACCTAAGGGACAAAGAATGACTGTTCTCAGGGCGTCTAGGGACTTGGAGACCGTTTTCCTGAAGCGTCACCTGAAGCGCACCCTGAGGCGGCCGGGCCCCGCCTTGCCCGCAGTAAGACTCCCACCCAGCCGCGCGGGCCTGACGGGGGCGCCTCCGAACGCGCAGGCGCACGCTGAGAGCCGGGAGGACCAGGTGAGGAGGCTTCAGCCTTCCGAAGACAGGGCCCCTTCTCCACGCCTCGGGGAGGGAGGGCAGCTGAGGGCAGCCGAGAGCAGCTGGCACCACTTCGCAGGCTGGGCGTGGGCCGAGCTCTGGCCAGTCCTCAGGCAGGTGTTGGCTGCGTGGGCCGTGGCGAGTGCTGGGGCAGGACTGACGCCCAGAGAGAGGCTCCGAAATCGCTGTCGGGTCATCCCTCCGCATACTGTTTTGGGCGGCCAGGCCTGCGCGGAGTCTGGGCCCGGAGCTTCCTCCGCGGGACCCCCAGGCCCGAGGGCCGGGCTGCTGATCCGTCAGGCACGGTAGGCCCCATGCCGAGGGACCACGAGGATTCAGGGGGCCACGATAATTTTTTTTTTTTCTTCTGGTTTTGCTTTGTTTTTGAGGCGGAGTTTCACTCTTGTCGCCCAGGCTGGAGTGCAATGGCGTGATCACGGCTCACTGCAACCTCCGCCTCCTGGGTTCAAGCGATTCTCCTGCCTCAGCCTCCTGAGTAGCTGGAATTACAGGCTCCCGCCACCACGCCCTGCTAGTTTTTAATATTTTTAGTAGAGACGTGGTTTCACTATGTTGGCCAGGCTGGTCTCGAACTCCTGACCTCGTGATCCGCCCGCCTAGGCCTCCCAAAGTGCTGGGATTACAGGCGTGAGCCACCGCGCCCGGCCACGAGAATGTTTTCATTTCGTTTAAAGTGAACTCGTAAAGTCAAATAAAGTGTTTTGATTTTTTTCTCACATCAGGAGGGGAAAATGAGATTTTTAGGGCCTACAAAATCCATTAACTTCTTTTAATCTTTTTTTAATGGAGGAAAGGGCCCACGAAATCTTTAATGGGGCCCTGCCATAGGGAGAACCATTGAATCATTTATCACGTGACAAAGTGAACGAGGGCATGTAAAGGGGCCCTAACCTAGAAAGCTCAGCACGGAACAGAACATCCACCGAGGGAGACACAGCGAGAGGCCGATCTGTGAGAGGTGGATCTCCCGGGTTGCGGGCAGGGGAGGGCCTGGCGTGAGGATGGAGATTTGGGCAGAAGGCACAAGCAACTTTAGGGCCAGGGTAAAGAATTTGGATTTTGTTTCCAGTGGTGTAATTGGAAGTCCTTGGAGAGTTTTTAGTTTGGGTGTAACTTGGTGGTTTTGGGTGGTTCAAGGCCCAGTTCCAGTTTTAACCAGTTTGCAGGGAGAAATCATTAAGCGAGTGTTCTTGGCGAAAGTGGAGAGTGTAGGGTCAAAATAAGGTCAGATCCTGTTTAGTACTATGCCCAGACACATCAGATGCATGAATTGATGATGTTTGAGGATGTAAGGAAGACAGCTGCCTCTTACCTCATTTAAAATACAGTCTTCCAATTGCACATTAGTGTGGGATTGAAAAATGACTGCAAGCTGAAACCATTCAAAGAGATCTTAAACACCAATGGGAAAAATTACAGTCGTTCTATAACCTTGAAAAATTGTCAAAACACTAAAACTTTCTTACTAAGTGTATAGGGAAATGTAAAACAGTAAAACTTTCATACACTAACTTAAAACATTAGAAACATTGAAAGCTAAAGTGTTTTCTTGAAAAAAAACTTATCAAGAGTAGTTTGGGCCGGGCGCGGTGGCTCAAGCCTGTAATCCCAGCACTCTGGGAGGCCGAGGCGGGCGGATCACGAGGTCAGGAGATCGAGACCATCCTGGTTAACACGGTGAAACCCCGTCTCTACTAAAAAAAATACAAAAAACTAGCCGGGCAAGGTGGCGGGCGCCTGTAGTCCCAGCTATTCGGGAGGCTGAGGCAGGAGAATGGCGTAAACCCGGGAGGCGGAGCTTGCAGTGAGCTGAGATCCGGCCACTGCACTCCAGCCCGGGCGACAGAGCGAGACTCTGTCTCAAAAAAAAAAAAAAAAAAAAAGAGTATTTTGAACAGTACTTGTTTTCTTCTCATAGTAAAACTTGTGAGAGCAAACATTTTTTGTGTGTCTTGGCAAACTGTCATACTTCTAAGTTTGGGTCAATTTCCTACATTTTATCCTTTGTACCTTCAATTTTGTAAAATATCTCTGAAAGTTTCTTTAATAATGAAGCTTTTTGCCAGTGACCCTTTCTGTAGGACGTCTTCATCCTTTTCATCACAATGACTTTCCTCAAGTATGTTGATAAGTTTGCCTTCTCGAAATTCCTCTGGCTGCTTCTCTAGAGTCTATCAAATGGAGGCAGTGTCAACACTCTCATAGTCAGCTGTTTCTCCTTTAACTCCACTTATGTTAGATTCAGATTTCACTCTCAGCATTATCATTTTTTATTTCTTTGCTGCTCTTTTTATTGGCTAATTTCCTCCTTCAATTTTCATTTTTGTAAAACATCACGTGGGCTTATCACTAGGAGACAAGGAGGTGACACAACTATGCACTTTGCTGTCTGCGCTTTAACCGAATAACGGATCTGCAGTGACCAGTCACCAAAAGACTTTGAAAGAAGTGATGTAATTAATTACTGATCATGATGCACTGATCACTATATCAGTACACGATATCAGTATACTATACTATTGATACTGATAACTATGTAATAATTTGTGAACTGAAGAGCTAGATACTACTTTATGTAATTACAGTTAATATTCCATGGTAACTGAAATTTGAACTGTGTTGTTGGAGAACTGGTGTTAATTAACTAAACTGTAGTAACTGAAATCTATATACTGGAACCATGCAAAATGAGGACTGCCTCTACTTTAAAATGGCATTTTCAGAAGTGAGAGATGGAGATGGTTAATTAAATTTAATTATACATTAAATAAGGCCTCTAACTGCCTATTTGTGTGAATTTCTCTGTGTCAGCTTCAAGTTCAGCATTCCATGTAGAAATTGGCCCCATGTACTTAAAGTACAGTTTAAAAATATGTTATGTGCTTTCTTGGTAAATACATTAGTAATTGATTTGGATTTCTGGTTCAAGATAACTTTCAACAGATTAGCATATTCATTCATTTATTTTTCTAGCTGTATCCAACACATAATTGGAACTCAGTTTTTAAAAATGTTGAATGAACAAATGCTGACTTCCGCCATTCAAAAAGGGAAGTTTGAAGTGAATAACTTCACAAATTCATCTGGGGAAATACATCTATCTATGTATTCTTAGATCATTTTTAAAGATTCTAAATTCCAAAGTGTTTCTGAAAATTATCGTAATTATCTTTCTCTTGGTCACAGGGGAAATCACAGAAGCTTTAATTTTCCCTACATTCTTTTTTTTTTTTTTTTTTGAGACAGATTCTTGCTCTGTCACCCAGGCTGGAGTGCAGTGGCCGGATCTCAGCTCACTGCAAGCTCCTCCTCTCAGGTTCACGCCATTCTCCTGCCTCAGCCTCCCGAGTAGCTGGGACTACAGGCACCCGCCACTTTGCCCGGCTAGTTTTTTGTATTTTTTAGTAGAGATGGGGTTTCACCGTATTAGCCAGGATGGTCTCGATCTCCTGACCTCATGATCCGCCCATCTTGGCCTCCCAAAGTGCTGGGATTACAGGCTTGAGCCACCGTGCCCGGCCTCCCTACATTCTTTAGCTAAAAACAATTATATAGAATGATTTTAGTTCTCAGAGGTGGGGACATATTTTTTAGCTATCTTTTTTATCGTGTTTCTTTTATGTTTTCTTTTGATTGTCCTAATGTTCTTTTAAAAATATTTTTATTATTAAATATAACATATATATAGAAAATGTCATAAAACATGACTGTATAGTTAAATAGTATAAAGTGAACACCCAATATCCACAATAAATATCAAGAAATAGAACATTAGGCTGGAAGTGGTGGCTCATCCTGTAATCCCAGTACTTTGGGAGGCCAAGGTGGGAGTATCGCTTGAGCCCAGGAGTTTGAGACCAGCCTGGGCAACATGGCAAAACCCTGTCTCTACCAAAAAAAACACACACACAAAAATTAGCAAGGCATTGTGGTGCATGCCTGTAGTGCCAGGTACTTAGGATGCTGAGGTAGGAGGATCACTTGAGCCTGGGAGGTGGAGGTTGCAGTGAGCTGAGATTGGGCCACTGCTGCACTCCAACCTAGGTGGTGGAGTAAGACCCTATCTCAAAAAAAAAATTTTTGAACATTACCAACACCCTAGGACCCCCTTCTTTTGTCTCTTCTTATCATAATGCCTTCATTCCTTCATAGGGAAAATCACTACTGTCATTTTTGTGGTAATAATTTCTTTGCTTTTCTTTATAGTTTTATCACTGTGTATGCTTCTCTAAACAATATAGCTACTTTTGCTTATTTTTAAAATCTATGTAGATGAAATCATGCTACATGTGTATGTGTTCTTTGTGTCTTGCTGCTTTTACTCAATATTATGTTTCTTAGAATCATCCACGTTGCCACATGCAACTGTAGTTCATTCATCTTCATTGCTGTATGTGAAAATATACTATGATTTATCCTTTTTAATGCAGATTGACATTTGTGTTTTTTTCAGTTTTGGGTAATTGTGAATAAGATTGTTACTAATAGTCTTTTGGCTGCTATGATCTGACTTTTTTCATGTATCCTGGTATATATGATTATTTAAAGATTATATGATTAAGAACAAAAAAATCCAAAAAGTTCTACAGATAAATTATTATAATTAGTAAGAGAGTGCAGCAAGGTTGTTAAATATAAAATCAATATACAAAAATTAATTATAGCTGGGCACAGTGGTTCATGCCTATAATCCCAGCACTTTGGGTGGCAGAGCCGGTTGGATTGGTTGAGCTCAGAAGTTCAAGACCAACCTGGGCAACATCGCAAGACCCCATCTCTATAAAAAATTGTTTTAATTATATTTTTATACATTAGCAACAAACTAAAAATGAAATTTAAAAAGATGAGAAACGGAGATAAACTTTGTCATCGGTAGTTCTTTGAAATGTAAATTAATATTTAAAAATTAACAGATCCCTAAGACTAAAATTTGACAACAGACAAGGAGATCTTTTGGGAAAAATTATAAAGCTGTAGATTATTTTAGATTTTCTATGTACGCAGTCATTGGCACACAATGACAGTTTTCTTTCTTCCATTGCAATGCCTTTTATTTATTTGTCTTACCTCATTACTACCTTCACTATAATGCTGAATAGAAGTGATGATAGCATGCTCCTTGTCTTGCATGGAAAGCGTTCAACATATCACCATGAAGAATGATGTTTGCTCTCCATTTTTGTAAATACATTTTATCAGATTATTCCTATCACCTGTTCTTACTCAGTCTTTATCATGCACAAATGTTGGGTTTTAAACGGAGGCTTTTCTTTGCACCTATTGGGATGATCATATCATTTTTCTAATTTATTTATTTAATGTGATGAATGACGTGATTGATATTCTAATGTTATGTCAACTTTATGTTCTTGGGATAAACTCAACTTGGTCCTGCTATTATTCTTTTTATATAGTATTAGTTTCAATCTCTCTATATTTTATTTAGAATTTTTACAAGTTTATGGATGAGATTATCCTATAATTTTTTTTCTTACTACACCTTTATCTGGTTTCACTTTCTTTTTTTTTTTTTTGAGACGGAGTCTCACTCAGTCACCCAGGCTGGAGTGCAGTGGCGTGATCTCGGCTCACTGCAAGCTCCGCCTCCCGGGTTGACGCCATTCTCCTGCCTCAGCCTCCCGAGTAGCTGGGACTACAGGCGCCCGCCACCACGCCCGGCTAATTTTTTGTATTTTTAGTAGAGACGGGGTTTCACCGCGTTAGCCAGGATGGTCTCGATCTCCTGACCTCGTGATCCGCCCGCCTCGGCCTCCCAAAGTGCTGGGATTACAGGCATGAGCCACCACGCTTGGCTGGTTTCACTTTCAAAGGTCGTGCTAACCTTATAAAATTAATTGAGGAGGCCGGGTGCCATGGCTCATGCCTATGTAATCCCAGCACTTTGGGAGGCCAAGGCGGGCAGATCACCCGAGGTCAGGAGTGCGAGACCAGCATGACCAACATGGAGAAACCCTGTCTCTACTAAAAATACGAAATTAGCTAGGCATGGTTCCACATGCCTGTAATCCTGGCTACCCAGGAGGCTGAGGCAGGAGAATCGCTTGAACCCAGGAGGCCGAGGTTGCAGTGAGCCAAGATCATGCCATTGCACTCCAGCCTGGGCAACAAGAGCGAAACTCCATCTTAAAAAAAAAAAAAAATTAATCGAGGAGTGTTTCTTCTTCTGTTCGTAAAATAATTTGTTTAAGATTGAAATTCTTGGCTGGGCACAGTGGCTCACACCTATAATCTCAGCACTTCAGGAGGCTGAGGTAGGTGGATCACTTGAGCCCAGGGGTTTGAGACCGGCTTGGGCAACATGGCAAGACCCCATCTCTAAAAAAAAAAAAAGATGGAAATTCTTGATCTTTGCAAGTTTGATGGAGCTCATCAGTGAAATTATCTGGTCCTCTAACTTACTTTGTGGGAAGATATTTGATTACTGATTACATTTCCTTAATGGTTATAGAGTATTTAGGTTTCTAAAATTTCTTTAGTATTGGTTAGATACATTTTTCTAGGAATTTGTCCATTTTATCAAACTTATTAGGATAAACCTATTCATTATGTCCTCTTATAACCCTTCTCATGTTTGAGCATTTGTAATGATGTCCCTGTCTCATTCCTTATATTGGTTCTTCATTCTCATTTGTTCTCTCTTCCTAATCTGAGTCCTGGGGATAAGTATAAGTAGCCAGTAAAGAAAGAAGGCAGGAGTATTGGAGGCAGAGAACCAGCATGAGCAAATGCACTAAAGTGAATATATTTGGTATTGTTTCCATGAAAACCTTGAGGTGAAAAACAGTTTCTAATGAGGCTAACAATCAGGTAATGACAGATCTTAAAGAGAGTTTAAATTTTACCTTATAAGAGACTCAGACAACCAAAGAATTTAACCAAGGAGAAATGTAGTCATATTTTCATTTTTAAGAATTATTCGTTAGGTACTAAACACACATATACTAGGCATTGATGAATAAAATCAACAAGACAGGTTCTCTACCCTTGGAAAGGTTACAATATAGTGGGAGAGGGAGTCATAGAAAAATTGTAATAGAATACAATAAATGCTAATAAAGAAACAAAGTTTATGAGGGCAGATAGCTTACTTTGAGACAGAAGCTTGAGTTTTTTGGTGTAACTTTTTATTAGTTCCACTCAGCATCTCTAAACATTCTCAGACTTACATTATAGGCAGACATCTAGATCTGTTGGGAGCTGTTAAAATTGGATGACTTGGGCCCGGTGTGGTGGCTCACGCCTGTAATCCCAGCACTTTGGGAGACTGAGGCAGGTGGATCATGAGGTCAAGAGATCAAGACCATCCTGGCCAACATGGTGAAACCCCATCTCTAAAAATACAAAAATTAGCTGGGCGTGGTGGCACGTGCTTGTAATCCCAGCTACTCAGGAAGCTGAAGCAGGAGAATTGCTTGAACCTGGGAGGCGAAGGTTGCAGTGAGCCAAGATCGTACCACTGCACTCTAGCCTGGTGACAGTGGGAGACTCTGTCTCAAAAAAAAAAAAAAAAAAGGATGGCCTGGACAAGCTTTAGTACCCAATCTGACTCCTTTCTGGATTGTTTCCCTCAACTTGCGTTTTATATTTCAACAGAGCACACACAATTCAGTTTGAAAACCAGTGGTTTCTCTTTCCTTCGCTATAGGTGTAAACAATATCCAGCTGGTGGCTACAGTTCTGCCTCTGGTTTTGCTGCCATGCATCCTGGGCGAACTACTGGTAAAGGGCCCTCCACTCACACTCAGATTGACCAGCAACCTCCACGGCTTCTCATTGTGCACATTGCTCTACCGTCCTGGGGTGACATCTGCGCCAACCTCTGTGAGGCTCTGCAGAACTTCTTCTCTCTAGCCTGCAGTTTGATGGGCCCTAGCCGCATGTCCCTGTTCAGTTTATACATGGTACAAGATCAGCATGAGTGCATCCTCCCTTTTGTGGTATGTATATCTATATTTATTCATTTTATCCTGAAAAGAGATACAGTGGTAAGGTTTCTGGAATAGAGATCACAGTTATTAATACTTAGAACAATAACCCCACTACTTCTCCACACACTGTAGCCCCCGAGTGACACCATGAGAGCCAGAGGACATCCTGCATATATAGGGGTATGCACTGTTGAAGAGAAACCCCAAAATTATTAATCTGGGAGTATAAATAGGCTACAAGCTGCCCCTTTCCACTCCAGAGAGAGGGAGAGAAACCTTGGCATTGACAGATGTTTGAAATGTAAACAACTGACCCCTTTTATGCCCTTTGAAATGTAAACACACAAGGAGGGAAGCCTCTAAATCTCTTCTGAGGTCTCTGGCTATTCAATCATCTTTTAAATTACAAGACTTGCCCTTTAACCCAGGTACCAGTTTTCTTTGCTCAGAAAGCCCTAACTATGCAAAAACATGAAAATATTTTTTCTACATTCCACATAGACTCAGGTGAAACTGTCCCCTAGGGTTATGGAAGGCAATCACTGGGCCAGGGACAGTGTTTTTACAAAGCTCCTTCATACATAAACAATTATCTATGCTCCTCTTCAAAATTTCAATCTTCCCTTTCTCCCTTGTATAAAATTCAGAATCATAGTGATGAGAAAGACTTCCAGAGGTTCTATGCATCTCCTTCCTTGAGGTAGCCTTGCTGCTAATATATGTTATCAAACGGATATAAGTCTTATTTAAGATTTCCAAAAGAGGAAATTTCATAAATCCATTGCTGAATTATGAAAGTAATATATGACTGGAATCTATCTATTTTTTGATTAATGCCTTAGTTTCCCTCATTGGAAGTGGAATGATAACATCTCTGTTGATACTATAAAGAATGAAAATAATATATATTACTTTATGCTTCCTGAGTTAGAACATACCCTGGTTGCTTTGACACAACCTTAGGCTTACAACAACTCACGGTTTATTTCTTGACAAAAGTCACACAGGGAAAGTTTTGAGTATAAATGCTCCAAGTGCTAAGTGTGGAGATTTTGTCTGTGCATTGTTACTTAGGCTGGGTTGGGGATAGGAAAAGGATAAAATTATTTAAGAAATTCAACTGATCCTTTCTACGGTTTGAGCATAATTTGGTACCTCTATTCATTATTTATTGCTGTGTAACAAATTATCCCAAAATGTAGTGGTCTAAATTAATAAACATTATCTCATAGTAACTATGAGTTAGGAATTCATAAGTGGCTTAGGTAGATCAGGCTTGGGGTCCCTCATGAGGTTGTAACCAAGATGTCAGTCATCTGAAAGCTTGATTGAGGCTGGAGGATCCAGTTGTAAGATGGCATATTCACTTAGCTGTTGGCAGAAATTCTTATTTCCTGACTACTCGGATCTCTTCAAAGGACTGCGTGAATGTCCTTAATTTGTGGCTGTGGGCTTCTCCCAGAACAACTGATCCAAAAGAGAGGGAGACCAATGAAGAAGCCAAAATATCTTTTATGTCTTAGTCTCAAAAGTAACATGTTGTCACTTCCTGTACATTCTGTTCGTTGGAAGCAAGTCACTGTTCCACCCTATATAGAATAACTGCAAGCAGATTTACCCTCCTGCCTAAAACAATAAAAAAAAACTGGATAAAACCTATGAAAAACACTTTTCAAAACAGTGGACATCACGCAGCAAAGAACAAAGCCCCCAGGAGACAGGAAGTAAATGAGGTGGGACTTAGAATTGTCCCAGCTTGCTGATCACCTGAGGTCAGGAGTTCAAGACCAGTCTGGCCAACATGGTGAAACTCCGCCTCTACAAAAATACAAAAATTAGCCAGACATGATGGCGGCTGCCTGTAATCCCAGCTACTTGGGAGGCTGAGGCGGGAGAATTGCTTGAACCTGGGAGGCGGAGGTTGTAGTGAGCCGAGATTGTGCCACTGCACTCCAGCCTGGACAACAGAGCAAGACTCCATCTCAAAAAAAAAGAAAAGAATTGTCCCAGCTTACTGCCTTGAGAAAGTTTCCAAACCACAATGCAGAGAGGGAGAACCTAGGGGTGGGCGCCAGTGGTTTCCTCGAGTCAAGGAGATGGATCTGGGACTTAAGGGAGACCAAGTTATTAATAGCTAGAGGAGAAAGAGCTATATAGAGGAAAGGAGAGAGCTACATACAGAACTCTATAAAGACCTGAAGAGGGTCCCCCTTGAGTATTCAGCAGAGTACTGATCAATACATGCGCATGAGGAAACTACCCAAGGCCAAAGAAGGAGCCACCCTAAAAGACTAGAGACAATGGTGCCTGATACTCACAACTAGAATAGTACCTGTTCTTATCAGCCAAGCTGGAAATCCTCATAATTCATGATACATTGGGTAGAGGACTCAAAAAGATCTTGCCTTAGTAGTAGGGCATAAAATAGCCCAAGACTTAGTACTGCTCAAGACTACCTAACATAAACACAAGATCCTAAGTGTCACACTGTTTCCAGGTAACTTAACTATCCCAGAACAAAGCTCAATAATATTTATAGAAATACAAAACTATCTAGCACCCATTAAGGTAAAATTCATACTGTCTGGCATTCAATCAAAACTTAAATAGGCATGCAAAGAAGCAGGATTTTATGACTTATGAAGAAATTATTAAAACTGACACAGAAGTAACATAAATGTTAGAATTAGCAGATGAGGACATTAAGACAATTGTTATAATTGGGTTCCATGTGTTCAAAAAGCTAAGTGGAGATATAGAAGATATTTTAAAAGTTCCAAATCAAACTTTTAGAGAGGAAAACTACAATTTCTGGCATGGAAAATACACTAGATGGAATTATTGACAGATTAGACATTACAAAAAAAAAGATCAGTGAACATGAAGACATAGGAATAGAAACTATCCAAAATGAAACACAGAAAGAAAACAATCATTTTTTTAAATGAATAGAGCATAATTGAGCTCTGGGACAACTTCAAGCCATCTAATATATGTGTAATTAAAGTCTGCAAAGGAGAGGAACAGGGGACAGAAAAAATACATTTAAAAAATGGCCAGAATGTTTCTAATTTTGATAAGAAACTCCAAAGCCACAAATTTAAGCCATCATTGAATGCCATGCATAAGAAACATGAAGAAAACTACATTATGACACATCATATAAAAACTGTTGTTAAAGATGAAATCTTGAGGCTGAGCATGGTGACTCACACCTATAATCTTAGCACTTTGGGAGGCTGAGGCAAGAGGATCACTTGAGCCCAGGAGTTTGAGATATATGTAGAGGAAATACCTAAGACAATTATATTATAAACAAAGGAGGGGAAAGTGATATAAAGGGAGCTAAGGTTTCTACACTTCATTGAACTGGTAAAATGTTGACACCAGTTGACTCTTGTTAAGTTTCTGTGTACAATATGATAATTAGGGCCACCACTAAAAAACCTATACAAAGAAATACACTCAGAAACACCATAGGTAAATCAAAATAGAGTATTTTTAAAATATTCCAATAGCCCATTGGAAGGTATATAAAAGAAAACAAAGAAACTAAAAACAGAGGGAACAAGCAGGAAACAACAAATAAATTGGCAGGCTAACATATCAATAGTTACATTAAATGTGAGTGGCCTAAAAACATCAATTAAAAGAGCTTGGCAGAGTTAATTTTTTAAATGACCCAACTATATCCTGTCTAAAAGAAACTAACTTCAAACACAATAAATGTAGGCTAAAAGTAAAAGAATGGAAAGGGATATATCACGCAAACATTAACCAAAACAAAGCAGGAGTGGCTTTATTAATATATCAGATGAAACAGATTTCAGATCGAAGAATACCAGGTACAGAGAGGGACATTAGACAGTGATGAAAAGGTCAATCCACCAAGAAGATACAGAAATCCTAAATGTGTATGCACTAAACAGCAGAAACTATAAAATATGTGGAGCAAAAACTGGTTGATCTAAAAGAAGAAATAGATAAATCCACAATTATAGTTAGATTCAGTGTCCCTCTTTCAACAATTGTAGAACATCAATAAGGATACAGAAAAACATCAGCCAACAGGATGTAATTGACATTTATATAATACTCCACCCAACAACAAGCAGAATGCACATTCTTTTCAAGTACCTATGGAACATTTGCCAAACTAGACCATACCATGGGCCATGAAGGAAAGAAACTTAAATTTTAAAAATTGAAATCATACATAGTATGTTCTCTGACACAATGAATCAAGATAAAAATCTATAACAGAAACATAACAGAAAAATTCCCCCAAACACTTGGAAACTAAACAACACACTTCTAAATAATCCATTGGTCAAAAAGCAATATGTCAAGGGAAATTTTAAAAGACAACAACATTGAACTAAAGGTAAATGAAAATACAAATATCAAAATTTGTGGGATGCAGCTAAAGCAGTGCTGAGAAGGAAATTTATGGCACTAAAATGCTTACGTTAGAAAAGAAAAAAGTCAAATCAGTAATATAAACTCCCACCTCAAGAAACTAGAAAAGGAAAAGCAAAATGAACTCAAAACAAGCAAAAGGAAGGAAATAATAAAGAGCAAAAATAAGTGAAATTGAAAACATAAAATAGAGAATATTAATGAAAAGTAGTTGATTCTTTGAAAAGATCAATAAAATTAACAAACCTCTGGCAAGAATGACAAGGAAAATAGAAAAAGAAAATATAAATTACCAATATCAGGAATGAAACAGGGGAGTGTCTTATAGGCCCTTGTTATTCCAAAGAATAATAGGAGAATACTACAAATACCTTTACATACGTAAATCTAACAACTTAGATGAAATGGACCAGTTCCTTGAAAAGCACAAACTATCACAGTTGCCCAATATGAAACAGATAGCTTGAATGGCCCTGTAACCATTAAAGAAATTGAATTCATGATTTTTAAATTTCTGAAAAAGAAATCTTCAGACCCAGATGGTTTTATTGAAGAATTCTACTAAACATTTAAAGAAAAATAACATCAAT